GGGGGGGATCAAATTATTTACTTAAGTATGTTTGACTCTACTACGATAGCTGGCAATATGCCCCCTTTCAGCTTGTTAGTATTGGACCTTTTTCTGGTTGACCTATTACTTAACAGACCAAACAACCGACAAACAAGTTAGCTAAGGTTAGCTAGCGCCAAATTGGTACCAGGGTGGACAACTTACAGCTCTGTACATGCTGTATGCTTTACTCATTGTACAGATGAGGTGCACGCTGGATGTAGATTTTGCTATGTTGGTAACAGCTCCTTCTTCTTCTGTTATGCATTTAATGCTATTCAACTTCCAGGTCAAAGCTCGGGGCAGAAACTGTGGAACATGCGCAGAGCGCCTAGGCTACTTTGGGTCAGATTGACTCCATACATACAGGAGTTATTCAACTCCCAATCTCATTATCTGGGTGCATTAGTCCAACATTGAGAAGTTCAGTTTAGTACAATTTCAATCAGACTAACACGTTTATATCAATTTTAAAAGTCTGGTTTTAGTTGGACTAATAAATCGATTTTCTCTAGTGTTATGTAGACGTACTGACTGTTCTTTCACTGTGATGTCATGACTAAACTTGTTGATCTTGTTTGATTCTTGTCTAAAGGTCTTTACAGTCCTTGAATTAGATGTTTGATGTGCAGAAAGCTCTTTGTCTGTATATCAGCACATTTTGTTTTTGTTTGTACAGATTAGCACCTTGAACTCCAGGACGCTATGTGCTGAAAGGATCCCATGAACAGGAACACACTTCTTTATCTCATCACTTTGTTCTCTCTGTGAACATTCATTTGATTTCTCACTTCAGGAACTCTTTTATTTAGTCATTTGTTAATACAAATGTAATGTATGTACCCTTTTTTTTTATTTTTTTAATAAAATCTGTGCTCTCCAGACCAGTCTTTAGAGTTAGCAGTCAAAGGTTATTGTGAGTGAGGAACTGACTGTCCTTAAAGAACCCTGCCCAACAGGAAACATGCAGAGTCCTCCTACATCTGGCTGTCAAGAAATCACAAGTAAAGACAGATATTTGATTGCATAAGTGAGTCATCCGCTTTCCTTTGACACACCTAAATCATCACTCAGCAGTCATGTGCTTGTACAGGCCTCATCAGAAATTGAGCAGGGTCATCTGTGTGTGTGTGATTTTAGGTTAAACAGCAGGGGCTCCAACAGCTGGTCATAAAACATTTTATTCTAGACAAGGCCTAGTTGAGAATAAAAACCACCACCACTAACATTATAATAACATTATGAAAAAGGATTACAGTTTCATAATATAGAACATTAATCTTAGGGGGGAGCTCTGCAGAGGAGCTCTTTCACACAGTAAATGTCATATATTTAATGTGTGTATTATTCAGGCTGTTACCTACCTACCTAACCATTGTGTTTTGATGAGACAACTATTCAAACTTCGAAAATTTAGAGTGCATAGGGGTTGAGAACATTGTGATGGAAGTATATAATGGCCATTGCCATGTTCACTTATGTCTTATAATTTGATACATCATTTTTTGCAGGGTTGATACCATTTGTTACACAGATTTGGTGCTACATTTAAGCATTTTTGACTACTGGAGAATTGATTAAAAAATGGTCAGAAATCTCCAAAATATCACATTAAAGCCCCTTCTCCACAAAAAAACCTACTAACACCCACTTACATCTGTTTTTTACAGTAATGTAATGGGAAAGGTAACAATTGGTATTCACACACTGCTCAAATGACCCTGCAGTAGTCACGCCTATTTATCAGCCCCAGCTGTGATTGGCATTGAAGGAAACACGACACTTGAGTGAACGCACTAATTTTAGCCCCTAAACTGCCAAGATGCAGTGACACACCTCACAAAATACCGCCATCTCCGCTCAAGCAGCGCTCAAAAATCAATCCAAATTAGTCTATACTGAGTTTGAAAGAGAGACTAAAGAAGTCAGAGATATATAAAAAGAATTTACCACCTAAAAGTTTTCATAGGCCTCCATGCTCCTCTCTACTGTTTACTAACCTGTTTCCCAGCCTGTCCGTGTCCGTGACACACCAAAAGAAAACAAAAAAAGACACACACAGAAAGACTTACATGTCTGCTATAGAGTACTGGTCTACTGGTGATGGGTAAGGAGTTTAGCCTGTTTTTGGCAGGGTTACCCGTGTTTAAAACACCTGCATACAGATGCTAACTTTGATGGAATAGGGATATAATACACCAAGATCATGAGGAACACCACAGAAAAATCCATGCTGTGATTTGATATCAAAAGCTTCTGACGAGGAGATTTCTGTAAGAATTACATTTTTCAGGAATTGGATGGTGAACACTTCTGTTTTGGAAACTGCTGAGAAACCACCATACTGTCAATATATCTATGAAAGCCATCCATCCTCTGAATGCTCAAGGTCTCTAGTTTTGCTATAAAGTTTCATGGGGCTGGAATAATCCTAGAGGTCACTATACGTCATTTTATACACTGAGGTCAAGTTTCAAACAAATGGTCTTACTATAATGAAATGGCTATGGGACTAACATCACACTTGAATAAAACTGGGCTCACTGAATCTTGTAGTGTAATGTACTGATTTACTGAAGACATATACTGTACCTTTTAGCTGACCTTTAAAAGATATGTGTTGAAGCAATATAATCTGTGCAACTGACAAATTACACACTGGTTTAATATTTCATGTATTCTTATGACACACACACACACTTATTGAGCACTTAAGCATTGTGGTGGAGAAGTACCTAGGACTCACTGTGAATCATTTCTAAAAATAGCATGAGGATGGGTTCAGAAAACACTAGTGGAAAATTAGGGGAATTACAGCTTGTCCTGAGAATGACCCTAGTAAGAGGAGGCGGTCTTAGATCTAGGAAAAACATTACTCAGCAGAAATATGACACCAATATGGTGGAGAAAAAGTGACTCAGCAGAGGTGGGATATGTTACGATCAGAGCCAAGTGAGAAGGATTAAGGGAAAGAGATGACTCAGCAGAAATTCTACGATAAAAGAGCGAGCGCAAACAAAGAAATTCCAGCCTTGCTCCGGAGCTTGGCTCATTTGGGTTGTGATGTGTTTGTTGCCTGCGAGCACATTAAACTCAGTTGCATCTGATTCTACGTGTCTCCAGTGATTTTTTGACCTCTGAGTATTTGAGTTTTTGATATCTAATGGAAGACAAAGAAAGTCCGTTTGAGAGGAGAAGAGCGAGGTCGCGAGCTAACTGGCCCGGCTCGGGACCTTGACTTTTTTGCTTCTACATTATTTGGCGAGCCAGCCAGGAGGACGAGGAGGTCGGATCCTGAGATCGGGGGGCGCTTGGCTGCACATCAGACGTACAGGTGGCCACCAGATAAGGTAAGCAGAGCCTTTTTTCTGCCTAAACCGGGTGCGTCTGAGGTGCAGTTGGGAGCCGCCCAGGTCGGAGGTATTTGACAAATTCCTCTCCTAAAGAACCTAAAATGTGATGTAAAAATTACTAACTAATAACACAACATTGGAACATAGCTGATATATTGCTGGAGACAACTGAATCTAGTGCAACACAGTGTGTGTGTGTGTGTGTGTGTGTGTGTGTGTAAGTTAGAGAGATAAACATGGAGAGTGAATGTGGGAGTGAGTGAGTGAGTGAGTGAGTGTGTGTATGTGTGTGTGGAATGTGGGGGAGTGAGCTAGAGAAACCAAGCAGGCAAAAGAAAGAGTGAACGTGTGTGTGCTGAATGTATGGTAACAAATGTAGTGAGGAATGTAGTAAGAGTAAAGTATTTAAAGTATTAAGAGTATTTAAAGTATTTAAAGAGACAAAAGTGCACAATAAGAGAAGAAAAGAGTCAGAGATACTCAAAAGCATATCCGTGGTTACCGCTATTGACTTGACAAACGCATCCTTTAAATCTGTAAAGGCAGGGGCGTTGAGCCAACCAATAGGCTGCTCGGGCGGAATGCAAAAATAAGAGAGTCAGAGGTACTCAAAAGCGAATCCGTGGATACCGCTAGCGACTTGCCACGCACACCTTTAAGCCTGTAGGGGCAGGTGTGTGTGAGTCAACCGTTGGGACAGCTTAGACGGAGAGCTTAGGGAATAGAGATTAAGAAAAGGCCTAAAGTAAAAAAGCTTCTGTGGATACCGCTGTTTTGAAGAAAGTGACCTCCCAGCCAAGAAGGAGGGGAGTCACCGTAGACAGAACAGGTCTGACACGGGCAGAACGCTTAAAATGTTGCAACCAAAGAGATAAAGGAAAAGTAAAAAAGACAAAAAACAAGTCAAAACAGTTAACAGATCGATCAAAGTGTAAAAATTGTAAAAACCTAACTGTAAGCTATAAAGTTGCTGTACATACATTGTAGTATATTTAGAAGTAAGTTGTAGTAAACACAGTATAATCTATTTAGAGTAATGCACGAAGCGTTGTATAAAGTGTTGTAAATACAGTAAAGTGTTAAATAAAATGTAACTGTAAAAAGACTGACAAATCATTGGGAGACTGACTAAACAGAGAGCACAAAAGGAGGGGGTGAGGCATGCAGCCAGCATAGAGTGAGGAACACAGCCAACAGAAGTGGGCTTATACAAAAAACAAAGCTTTGTTAAAATTTGATAGTTTGGTTCTGACCTCTATTGGGTTAAAGGTCATTACAAAGAAAAAAGACATTTTGGGGCCTGAATGTTTTATCATAATCTGGTATCTGTGTGTTTGTTTTATGTGATTTGTTTCACAGTTTTGTTACATGAGGTAGTTATTAACAGTGTCTCAGTGAAACAAAACCAGACAAGGGTAACCTAACGGTGCCAACAAAAAGTCCACATGTTTCACTGATTGAACCAGTTGCTCGGGTGAACTCCATACAAACTGGTTGGCTGTTAAGGGGAGAATAAAAAAGAAATATCTGTTATTTTAATTTAATTTTATAGATAAATAAAATAAGTGATAAGTATAGTCTCATAAATGAATAGAATAAGCAATAAAATTATAAATAAATTATAAATGATAAGTAGCTTTAGTTTATATGTATAGTTTTATAATAAATAAAATAAGTAATAAAATAAAGAAAAAGAAGTTGAGATCAAGCTGTTAAGAGTTGGATGGAAGAGGGTGACAGCAGTAGTAATGAAATTTGGGCTGAAGAATATTGCATGACTGATGGTTCAGTGGACACTAGAGGCATAAAAAACACATTTTGGGTTGGAAAGAAGCTACATAGACAGCGAAGGGGGTGAGCAGATAGAGAGAATCAAACTAAGCTGTTAAATAAATCAAGTACACGGGCTCGCTGCTGCAACATTGGGAGATCAAATTAGGCTGACTTCACTGGTACAACATCGTGGACCAGAGATAACACAAATAGGGAGAGTAATAAGGCAAACACATACATTTCACCAGTGACAGGTTAAGAGGTGAGGTTATACATAACTCACAGAACACCTGAAATAGATGGAAGAGGGAAATGAAGGGAGAGTGAGAATAAGACGCAAGAACCAGGTCAGTATGATGCAGAAGAGGAAGCAGACGACGAGGGAGATCAGATATGGTCAGACACAGACTCAAGGGAAGAATACGAGGAGAGAGCAGTGAAGCTTACAGGATTAATGAAGTCATATACAATGCCATCAGAAAAAGGCAGAGAAGGATAGTACAGAGTCAGCACAGGTTCAGCTGTTAAAACTCCAATTGGAAGATGCACGACGTAAAACCAACGATGAAAAAAAAAAAAAAAGCAGAGAAAAAATCAACCAATCAGATGGTTCGGCAGCTTCCGCCCTTCCCCATACACACTCCAGATCTATTTCCGACCCCAGAGTGGGTTGATCCTCGCCCTCCCCATTGGAGTGGCTCGAGAAGAGGTACAGGAGGATTCAGAGGCAGGGGTGGGGGTCGTGGCGGCCCAAGAGGGGGTCAGGGCGG